TGATTCATAAAGAGGATTTATGAATGAATCTTAAAATGAATGAGCAAATTAATACATAAATAACATCCCCAAAGCCAAAATCTTACTGAAAAACAAGAAATAAAATGAAGAACATTTCTTAGCCAATACAGTTTTGTTTACAACTTTCTTATTGATTTTATTGCTTGAGGATTATATTTATAAAGACTAAATCCTCTGAAATGTATCTTTCAGAATCGAGATTTAGTATATCTTCTGTTGATTAAATTCATCAGAAAAGTATTAAAATTAGACGGAACCTCTATTTTTCTCTTCTTGAATCAGAAATCTTAGTCCTAGATCCTGCTGTTAAGAAGAAGCTTCTTTAGAATATAATTATTTCAGTCTCAATAAAGTAAATATTTAAGCCCTTCAAAATGTGATTTTCTACCTGTATTAGTTTTTATGGATGTCACAACACATTTTTAAAGTCAGCATAGAAAAAAAAATCCAAAAATACACTCTTTCACAGCTGTGGTACTTAAAATACTGAAATCAAATGATCATTTGGGCCACACTCTCTCTGCAGTCTCTGGGCCCTAGAGTCTAGGAGATGGGCAGGAGAGATGCTCAGCTATTGAGTTCCTTCTGTTCTTCTGGAGAACCTGACTTCAGCTCCCAGTCTGTCAGCTCAGCTCAAGGAGATCTGAACATTCTTTTTAAACCACTTTGGGCACCCACACCTACATGTCATATGTGCATGTGCACACACATACACACACACAGAGAAAAAGAGAGAGAGAGAGAGAGAGAGAGAGAGAGAGAGAGAGAGAGAGAGAGAGAGAGAGAGAGAGAGAGAGAGAGAAATAAAAACAGTGATGTCTCCAGGGGAGAATCTGATGTATGCCTCTCCCTTAACTTTTGAGACTGCCCATTGATTGGATTCCTTGGACTGAATTTCTACTAAAGTAAAGCTCCTGTCTCTTCATGCCTGTCTGCAACTCTTCTGTTCTTAGGAGAACCATCATACTGGATAAAGTTCTACTCTAACAACTTCAATTAAAATGGATTCCCTCCCACAAAGTTTTCATTTCCAAATAATCTTACATTCACAGAGTTTAGATCCCAGAGCTTAGGTTCTAATCACAGCATGGTTCAGCCTAGAATGCCCTCTGAAGAATGACTTTGAAGTAAAAGATAATAAAGGATAACTGTCAAATGCAGTTGCCTAAGAATTATCAACATCTTCTACTTGGTTGCTCTTACCTACCTGACCTGAAGTATACTGTGCTTTAACAATTTTAGCAAAAAACACATGCACACTGCTAATGCATGTGGTCATAATCCCACTTCATCTCTGGTTAGAATGTTAGGTTTGCTCCTATAGAGCTAAAATGATCACAGATTTGTAGATTTTATCCTCTATGATCACTCCATACTAAGGTCTATTACCCTGATCCTCTCCTTTTTCTGCAGGAACATATCTTATCATAGTGTCTTTCTTTCTCTTTTTGTGTTAAGTTTTAAAATTAAATTTATTCGTTGAATGAGCATAAGAAACAAGCATAGAAAAGAAATCCAGTTATAAAGAAGTTATACAAGGGAAAAAAACCTGAAAATTCAAACTCAGCTCCATAAACTCTTGAAAATGTTTCATTTGATGATATTTACCTGTTAATTAGGATCAGAGGAGAAAATTCATATAATATAGCTCATAAAAGCATGCCAGATGAATATTAATGAATTCAGTGAAGGGATTCTGTTTCCAGGCAACAGCATATTCCCTGAGCGTATTAACATTAGTTGTAAAATAAGCAGCTCAGGCTGGAATGCCTCTGACTGCTGAATAACTGCTATCAGACCTCCAGCCAAGTTCCCACTCATCCTTAGTTGTAGTTAAAATGATTGTTTCACTATTCTTTTAGTCATCGACAATGACATCTATCATGACTGTCATCAACATGAGCCCTATACTCATGAGTCAGTAGTTCTTTCCTTAAAAATATGTTTTAGCAGCAGCAGGAGGTATAGTGAGCTGAGTGTCATGGAGTATCAGGGAACATGAAGCTGGAGGTTTGTAATGAATAGTCATTCAGTTGCTAGTAGACTGATATCTAAGAACTGGTTGTAACATTTCCAATGAGAGGGGCTAGGGAGGAGTGAAAGAAAGGAGAAAGAGAGAGGAAGATAGATAGAAGGTGATCAGAATGGCTGAAATCTGAAAGTACCTCTCTTGATGTCTGCAGAACAACATAGAAGAGAACCTGGGTTCAAATGTTTTATTATTATTCACTTAATAGTTTGAAAGAATAAGAAAGTTGGGGATTTCTTTTTAAGATAGAAGTTACCTGTCTTTAAGATAAATTCTGTCATTAAAACTATTTTTTGATAATTTCTTATTAGCTATGATTCAAAAGCATAAGAATGCTACTCAGATTTAAAGGGGACTGTTAAAACAGGTAACTCAGAAATTGTCCAGCATTCTGCAAAGATGTGCTGTGGTCCAAAAGCAAGACTGGAGAAATAACAGATCCAAATTCCCAGGGAGAGAACTCATTTGGTCTCTTTGTGATGCACTGATTATCTGGCTCCATTTCTCACTTAGCCTAGTACCCATCTCTTACACACCTCAGTTGACAGGTACACTTAATCTCTGTCCTGATACATGCAGAAGGGACAAAACACATAAAGAACAGTTCTTGTTTTTGCCGTCATTAATCTTCACATCACATCTACCCAGAAATCAGGAGCAAGGGCTTTGTCCATAGCTAGTTGGTATTGCTGCCACTCCTTCCATGACCCATATTCAGGGTCTAATCAACAAAAATCAGAGCTGTCCATGTGAACAGGGGAAGAGGAAAAGTTTTACAGACTCAGGGAGTGGTTCACTACTCTGCTTTTTCCATATATCAGTTGCTAGCCAATGACCTGGTTTTCTTCATCCTGTATCCTTCACCTTCAGAAAATGCATGCATTGGTAGGATACAGATCTTCACTTCTTAAATGAAAACAGGTAGCCACCAGATTGTAATTTATTCCCACTTCTTATTGTTCAATATTCCTTTATCATTAATATTACATCATTAATACCAGCAGAATCCATAGGTATATATTATGGCCCAAATTAGGGAAAAAATATCTTTCCCTGTATGCTGTGGATATTGCTCTCTATGCTGTGAATGTGTTGCTCTGATTGATTAATAAATAAAATACTGACTGGCCAGTAGCCAGGAGGAAGTATAGGCAGGACAAGCAGAGAAGAGAATTCTGGGAAGAGTCAGGAGTCATGAGTCAGACACAGAGGAAGCAAGATGTAAAAGCAAAACTGAAAAAAGGTACCAAGCCACATGGCTAAACACAAATAAGAATTATGGGCTAATTTAAGTGTAAGAGCTAGTCAATAGTTAGCCTGAGCTAATGGTTGAACATTTTTAATTGATATAAACCTCTGTGTGTTTACTTGGGTCCATGCAGCCTCAGGGCTTCAGGAGCTGTGCAGGACCAGGAAAACTTCAGCTACACCTGTATGTAACTGAGTCAATTACATGATATTCCTGAAGAAAATCTAACACAAAGAAAGGTGAGTGTCCTAGTTAGGGCTACTATTGCTTCAATGGAACACCATGACCAAAGCAACTTGAGGAGGAAAGAGTATTCAACTTATAATTCCACATGACAGTTCATCATCGAAAGACGTAAGGACTTGAAATCTCAGGATTTCAATCAGGTCAGGAACCTGGAGGCAGTAGCTGATGCAGCGGCCATGGAGAAATGCTGCTTATTGGGTTGTACCTCATGTCTTGTTCAGCCTGCTTACTTAGAGGACCCAGGACCATCAGCCCAGGGATGGCACCAACCACCATTGCCTGGGTGCTGCCCCATCAATCACTAATTAAGAAAATGTCTTAGAGCTGAATATTTTGTTGTTGTTGTTATTGTTGTGTTTGTTTTGCACTGCTTTTTGAGACAGAGTTTCTCTTGGTAGTCCTGATTGTCCTGGAACTCATTCTGTAGACCAGACTGACTTTGGACTCAAGAGATTTGCCTGCATCTGCCTAGAGTGCTAGGATTAAAGGTATGTACCTCCACCCCCAGTCTTACCCCTGGAACTTATGGAGGCATTTTCTCAATTGAGGCTTCCTCTTTCAGATAACTCTAGCTTATGTCAAGTTGACATAAAATTACCCACAACAATGAGCTATCACTGTGGTCATGAGCACAGGCTTTTAAGTCATGCAGACCAACTCTCCAATAACAAGAGTACTTCTTAAAAGAATTGTAATCCTAAGTAAGTTTGGTTGTTCTGTTTCTTTTCCTTTATCCTTAAGATACACATAATACTAAACATTAACAAGAGTTGTTGTGAGAATTAAATTAGATAGTTTATTTTAAAACATTTTATTCTGGGCCTAGCAATTTAATCACTCAATAAATGGCAGCTATTATTGTTATGATCATCATAATTAGCATTATCATTATGATGGAAATATGCAAAGACTAAACAGCCTCAAACTGAGATGTTAGTGCTAGTTCTTGGAGGGGAATAAAACATAAAAGAAGTGAAAATTGGCTGATGAAAATTGGTCATTGATATTACAAAGAACTGACAGGATTTGGAAGGGAAAATGAAATCTGGAATTTTAACTGCATTCTGATATTGTAGCGATATATTTCCTTGGGGCTGCAGCTGACACAGGTAAATTATTGAAAATGTCTCTTGTCTTTCTTTTTTCCTTTCTTTCTCTTTCTTTCTCTCTTTCTCTCTTTTTTTTGTATTTGCTATTGGAGATCAAGCCTAGTACCTCCATATGCTAGGCAAGTGGTCCAGCAGCAGGGTACACCCCCAGCCCTCTAAAATGTCCAACTCTTATATCTACAGATGTAAAATGGGAATGCTAATGCCTGGCCTTTGGGCTACTGGGACATGCAAAAAGAAGCAAGAAGTATGAGGATGTTAGTTTGGAAAATCTTTTGTCATCAGATGATAATGCTTTGAATCGTCTTGTCTATTGAATCTGTCCTTTCTCTTTGCTCACCTTGTGTTATGATGCTCCTCTGCTTTAGCACACTGCAGAAGTGCTGTGACTATGATTCCCTTTGAGATTCTGCCGGCAACACTGAGTACCTCGAGATGTCCCAGGCGTACTCATTCCTCCCATGCCAGCTGAAGTTAAATGTATTCCTTCAAGAAGCTTGCAAACCAATCAAATTAAATCTTTAATGGTAGATTCAAAACTTTTTCCCAAATAAGATATGCATTTCTGCATTCAGACAATCAAAACACACGGTACTGTAGGCAGTCATTCTCAAATTTTCATGCCTATGAGAATATCATGAGATAATTAAAAAATAATAAGTATCCCCAGATCCCCATTCCAGTTAAATAGGTTCCAGGAATCATTATATTAAACAAACATTCCAGATAATTCTGAGAAATGCTGTGTGTAGGAATGTCAGTTTCTAGTCCAGATCAGTGACTTGTGGAGAAGCAGAGGCACATGTCTAATATCACAAGCTAAGACACTGTCTCATTTCCCAGTGGATGACCTTACTCAACCTTCAGCTGCATCTGGGCATCAAGCTATGCTTTCCTTCCAACTTCCTCTCCAAGTAGCCACAAAGGACATCTTCTTGACAGTCATTTTCAATGAGGCCATTCAGAAACAGTATTTGTGTTTCTGTTAGCTGTCCTACTTGGGTGAACCAGCAAGGATGGCTAGCAGGTGGAGATTACTTGTTTGCATGTTTTTTATTTCTCTAGACTGAATTCCTACATTAAGGAGCTTTGCAGAGATGCTGAAATAGATGTGATTCTAGCTTAGGCTTCTTTTCTCATCAACTTTGCTTTTGTTGCTTCACCGTGGAAACAACATTGATCTCTCTACCTCTCTGCCATTCTCAGACCCAGCTCTTTCCTTTTCCTCCATGGGATGTGGCATTGTGACTTGGGAGGTCAAAATCAAGAGTGAATGGGAATGAGGGGTCTGTGGAGCAAAACACAGGAGCTGTTCTGTTCAGATGTTTTATTGCTATTCACTTGGGCCAGTGGGGAAAACAAGCAGGCCGGGGATGTCTTTTGAAAGGATTAACATTTCTGCTAGCACCAAGTAGCTTATAAAAATTAAAACATAGGAGATCACAGACATCAAATGTGTATCATGTCTAAAGAAAACAAGAAGAAAATAACTTTTTTTTTCCTGGATGACAATGACAATCACCCTTAGATACATTAGTGAGTGACTCTGGTCCTATATGGAGCTATCTGTCCATGTGTTTGTGGGCTAAAGACCAACATATCTCTTTCTATAATATTTTCCCAGGGGAGTCCCAAATCTGTGCCTAGTGTTCTGTTATGACTCCTGACAAGAGACTATGATTATCTCCCCGGATGTAAATAGATAATTTCAGAGCCTTGGGGACAGAATTTGTGGCTACAATTTAATAGCACTAATGAGGCAAAATAATAGTCTCCCATGACTGAGAGAGAAGGTGAACTCAAGTTCACTTCCATGCATGCCCTTTCTTGTCTATTCACTGTAAAGGAGAGAAAATTGATTTCAAATCTGGCTGCCAGTAAAACACGGACAATCAAGGATAGGTGCCTGCTCTGTGTTTCTTGGCTCGATTCTCCTTTCTGAATGAGAAGAATGGGAATCACTTTAGATTCTTGGCTGAAGCATGATAGTTGGACCAAAAGCACAGTCCACATTTGTCCAGAGAAAGAAGCTCCCCCATTAATTTGCAATTGATAATAGGTGCCAAGACATTCTCTTACAAGAGTTTATATGTATCTTTCATCTGCACTTGTTTACAATATAATGAGCATGGATGGATGCACCTCAGGAGCTTCAGAAGTCTGGCTGGGACCTGAACCCAGATGGCTAGATGCTTATCAGATCTTTTGTGAACCATCCAAATGCTGAGCACATCAGAAGCTGAGGAGAGCCACTTTCCTCATGAGATTTCAGACATTCCTAGTCAGACCATGACTAATGTAAGAACAGACTTTTCTCAAAGTTTTGGACATCATCCATCCAAACTTCATAACACCTGCCTGTGAAGATGCCTTCCATGGCCTGTGTGCAATTTATCTCCATGGGCCTTTCAAGGGACTTAGTATAGCGTCTCGATGTTCAGACAAAGATGTTGACTGTGTAATGAAAGACAGAAGCATCTGTCTGTAGTGTGGTTTATGATGAAGTGATGCCTTCTTTCTGTTGTTGGAAGATCCAGGTTCTACAATTTGGGCTTTGGTTACTAGTCTAATAAAGATTTATGTTGCATGTTTAGTTCCTTTAAAAAGGGATGTTGATAGTTTTAATACTTTAAAACCAGTAGTATGAGTTTATTTTCTGTATATCTAGAGTTCAATTAGCTTTGGAAGAATTAAAGAGCAAGGTTTGCCAGCAATAGACGTTTTTCAGGAATATAATGCTTGCCTTAGTATAACTTGGCACTGTATAACTGAATGAGTGTGAGGCGGTCTCCACTTTCTCCACTGCAGTACTAGTCATTGACTAGTTATCAACTCACACATAGCATGCCATGCAAATACAGGAAGGCATGAATAAATGGAAACAACTCTGGTGCTAACTTCTGACTTTAATTGCTGCCTAATCAAATCTGTTTTGATCATGAATACATTTTAATGTTCTCAGAAAAGTGGATTTTCAAATATGCTTATGTCTCTTGCCCTTCTTTTTATGGAGGGCCTCATTCTATCTCCTATGCTGGCCTAGAAACATCTGTGTAACTGAAGTTGGTACAGACCTTTTAGGAGTCCTTTCTTGCTTGGCCTCCAAACTGCTGAGATTACATGAAGATGCCATCATAGCCAGCTGTCCTAAAGGTTTAGAGAAAAAGGTTCAAAAACTGCTCCTAGACAATTACCAAAGTGAAAATAGTCAGAAAAAACTTCAACTTGATTTTATTTCGTAGTCTTGATAATACAATAATAAAATAAGGCTTCTAGATCAATATTTATAATATTTACTTTTAATTTTTTAAATATGCTAATTAATTTAGAGCTGCTGTAGGCACAGAAAGCAATTGTGAGGATCGAAAGCTATTTCCATATAGTCACACCCATTTCTTTGCTACTAACATCTTCCACTAGAATTGCTCATTTATTTTTTTTCATGAAAAATTGTTAGCTTGATTGGGATTTCTTCATCTCTTCTGATCATTCTTTCTGTTCCAAGATCCCAGAACAGTAGTAATGTTTGGTTAAACTTTAAATAGGCTTCGTTTCATTTGCTAATGCTTGATTGGATGTCTGCAGCAAGGCTGTACTGCGAATCCAGATCCATTCTGTACCTTGTGTAGCTGCACTGCATAGCATGAATGAGGTCTGCTACTGAAAGAATTCCTGATCTTAATTTTCTCTATGCTGTTTAAGGAATACACCATAGTAGAAATAAATTATCCATAATGATTATAAATTTATAATGCTTTTAAGGGGCTAAAAGCATGCATACATACAATTGCAGCATAATCTATACTATCTCATTTATCTACCTAACAGACACTGAGTGTGTACTGTGTGTGTGCTGATATCTTGGGTAGATGATGGAGACTGAGAGAAAAAGTTTGGAGCAGAGCCCATAATTTGGTGTGGACATGTGAACTAAGTTCAGTATTATTTACAGATGAAGATTTTGCATGGAAAATGTGATAATTATGGATTTGATTACTTAAAAGGCTTCATGTATGTGTGTGGTTGCATTTCTCTAAATTATAGGCCAAGAATCAGGTCAAATTTTGTTAGGTCAAATCCAAAAAGTGACACTCCAAAATTACTTTAAAATATACTTAGGATGAAGAAAAAAATTTAAAAGCACTACAATATGAAAATCAGAAATCTTAAAACTGCCAAAATCTGAAAATTGTTTGCACACTAATATAGTGATCTTAGTGGAAAATCTCACAAGAGATTTCAGATAACAGTCAGAATCCAAGCATAACTACAGTGCAAATGCTGCATGAGATTATATTCAGTCCACATGTATCAAAATATAATAAATATGAATTCATCTCATGTTTAGGTTTGAGTCTAATCCTCAAGCAATCCTTTTTACTTGTGTGTAAAATAATAAAGATACAAAAATAAATATTCTACCTATAAAATCTGTAGAAATGTAATATCTCAAGCATTTCAGATACCCATTTGGTATATTTGATTTCTAGGGAACATGAGGGTGATGGTACATTATTTGGCAAGAAGCCAGTGACCCTTGGTCCTTATTTGACCCCTAAGTCTATTAAGCCAAATACTTCATCCCGTTGTCATTTACACACACACACACACACACACACACACACACACACACACACACACATACACACACACACACACACTGTTAGATCTTGGTGGGGAGCTATTTCTGATTCAATAGTTGATAGGACTTATAGTACCTCAGTGCTGTACTTAAATCTGTTATAGACTTTCGTGAGACTCAAACTATCACATTCTTGAAGCTGAGTTGTGAGCACAGTTTGTGGGATCAATTTGATAACTTCAAAGTCACACCATCATGCTCTCTCTGGGAATGCCAAGTGTAAGAATAAGGGAAAGAAATTCAAGAAATACAGTCTTGAAACTGACTCTGTGCCCGCTTCCAGGCTAGATGTTTTTCAAGCATATCTTGCTTGTCTTTACTAAAGTTTGCCAAAGCCTGTTGCAGACTTGAAATAGTCCCAGAGGAAGATTGTACATGTTATGGGCCTCCCTTTTTAGTAATTCTAGCAAGATTTAGGATCTTGGATGTGTCCACTCTTAGACTTCCAAAAAGAGACCAAGGTAGGGATTTCTATATCCCAACCCCTTAGTTTTGTAGACAGGTAACTAAACAAGCTATCTGAGTTGTCTGAAGGTAAAATTCAGCTTCCAGATCATTACATGGGGAGATTATTCTGGTTTATATGGGTGAGTTCAATCTACTTACATTGACCTTAAGTGCAGAGACATAGCCTTGGCTTCTCAGGGAGAGTGAAGAAGCAATGTGGGCAGGAAAAACAGGCTAGAAAGGGGGAGGAGAAAAATCTGCCCAGCCATTGTGGTTTAGATGGAGGGGAACATAGGCCAAGAAATCAGGCAAATTCTGAGAGTTGGGAAAGAACCCAAGCCAAGGGTACCGAGTAAGGAGAGACCTTAGTTCTGCCATGACAGAGAATCAGATTTTGCCAAGGACCTGCATGAATTTGTTGGTAGACTTTTCATCAGAGTCTCCATTGAGGAAAACAGCTATAATGAAACTTGTCTGGTAAGACCTCTCTTTTACTTCTACCCCAATTCTAGAGTCATGATAATAGGTGAGTATGGTTTTTTAAAATGGTTATTATTTTTATTCATATGTGTTTCTGGGAGCCCAGTGTGGGCATGTCCCTGCAGAAACCAGAAGAGGGGACCGGATCTCCTGGATCAGGGGCTACAGGTGGTTGCAAGCTGCCTAGCTTTGGTGCTAGGCACAGAACTTGGGTCCTCTGGAATAAGAACTGCTCTTAACGGCTGATCGCTCTCTCAAGCCCCATGAATATTGTTTTATCTGTTAAATTTTCAGTCATTTAGAGCAGTCATAGAAAGATAACACAGGAGTTTGTGTCACTGGTCTAGGTGGGATGTGTGATAGTAGAGTACCAATTATGCAGGTAGTCTGTTGGGGGGATACAGCAATGAATACATAACTTGAAGGGTCTATCTAAGTTTATATTCAATAGGAAATGGCTAAAATGCAGGGGTGACTTTCTAAGGAGCAACATATTGGAGACTCCCCTGTCTCCATCACTATAGGCAAATCGAAGTTCACAGAAGACCCTTGAAGATGGTCCATTAATATATGCCTTGTCTGACTATTTCTTGGACTGCTTTACCCTACATAGCTGCTTTTCCCTATAGTGTACAGCAGAGAAGAAATGAGTCTTCATTTTTTTTCTTGGTTTTAAGGACCGTGTATAAGATGCCAGATACCTACAGGAAGTAAAGATGTCAGCTGATGTCTCTGATGAATTCCTTTTTGAATGAAAGATGAGCTGTACTCATTACTGTTAGATCTGGGATGACAAAAGAGATAAACATCTTGTGAAGATCCTTCTCCCTACTATTGATATATCTGCATATGCTGCCTTTCAGTGCTCTGTTGGGTCAAAACTACCTAAGCCTAGTAAGAGAGCATAATAACCTTCAGCCTCACACTTCTCTGCTTCACATACTGTAATGCACTATAGAGTAACTCAATGTTTCTGCATGTTTTATTTAACTCAACACAGCCAGGCAAAATAATTGACTAGTAGTCATTCTCAGTCTCTTCAGCAGTTGCTGATACATAGTAAAGCCCAGTCATTGTTTTACAGTAAAGATTATTCAGCTCTTATTTTTCTTCCTTTAGGGTGTAATCTTGACTATGGGATTGCCCAGGTCTCATGTGGAAAACATTCCAGGCCATGTTAGATCTGTTTGAATTTCCAGCATTGTAGAGATTAGGGTGAGTTTTGGTCATGTAATGTTTTTTAACTGAATAGATTAGTCTAGAGGTAGAGTGAAAAATCATTATGGTTGGTGAAAAATCTAACCTGTTGTGTTGAAAATTGCTAACAAACAAAAAACAGAAAACAAAATGCAAAACAACCACAGGATTAGAGTGATGATTGAATGGGTGTATGTAAATTTTTCTCATGGTTTACACATTACTTGCTTCACTCTGTGATTCATGGATACCCATCTTTGGAACATATATATTTTTATTTATTCTTTTGAGATTTTCATACACATCTTTATAAATGACTGAGACTACCTGAATATCTTCAGCACTCAGCTCGTCTTTCCATTATACATCATCTTTCTAGCTGTGATACATCCAAGCTGCAATGTTAGTCCTGTCGTCAGAAATCTATCAGCACTCGCAGGAGCTGGGCACGTCTGTTTCTATGGCATGGTTGCCAGCTCTGCATTAATTGTTCACTATGAATAGAGACCATATGGACCTTAAATGCTAGCTTTAAAATGGTTTTTCTTTCATTTTGCAAGCTTTGACTGGAAATGTGCAAGGCTCTAAACATTGCTTCATTTCTTAAGAGGAAACAGAGAACAAATAAGTCTTCCACAAAATGCTGTGAGAAAGAAAAAAAGCAAACTTCCTTCTTAACAAAATGTTTTAACTACTCATTTATTGGCACAATTAGTGAAGGCTGGTTCTAATGGACACAAAAAATAGATTTTGGATTATTTTACAAAGGGAGGAGAAAAAAATATCCATCTTCTGAGAGATTGTAACAGAGAAATGGACCAATTAGTTGAAGCAAAAAGTGGAGAGGCACAAAGAAGTATTCATTGTTTTCTCTTTCAAAGCTCTAGCCTGACAATGTGTGTTTTCCCTGATTAGCATAATTCAAGACTGAGTTTGGCTCTGAGATATAGATCTTGTCTCTCTTTTTCTCCATTGCACACATTGCAATGAGGGAGACATGCAAGCAATCAGAAGTTGCCTCAGTACTGGATCAGGTGAAAGAAGTAATGGATACAAATGAGACTTGAACGTATTTGCCACCAACTGACTACACAAAGCCTTTTCCGTGTAAATGTCAAATGACCAGCACGTGGACAGAAGCTCCTCAGTTTGAATAAATCACCTTAAAATACCACCCCTATTTTGATACTTAAGGGCACATAAAACTAAAAGATGGGGAAGAAAATCCATTACAAGCTTTTCTTTGTAGCTATATAAACTTCAGCACAACTAAGGATCGTGTAAAAATACTTGTACAGTCTGCTGGGAGCCCCAAAGAAAAGCAACTGAGTTTGTGATTAAATTCTGCAAGACTCATGAACAACCACAGACCAACACATAC